GTAAGTCTGTCAGCCCAAAGACTTGGCTTAGTCTTGCAATCTTTCCAAAAGACAAGAAATAGAGTTTGGAAAGAAAGATCAAAAAAATAAAGGACAAATTGAATGCCGATGGCTCACACCTGTAATCTAGCTATTCAGGAAGTTGAGATCTAATTCAAAGCCAGCCCACGAAGAAAAGTCCCTAAGAGTCTTATCTCCAATTAACCAACAAAAAAAAGCTGAAAGTAGAAGTATGGCTCAAATGATAGAGCACGAGCTGGGCGGGGCGGGGCGGGGCGGGGCGGGGCGGGGCAGGGCGGGGCGGGGCGGGCGGGGTGGGCAGGAGGAACACAAACCTAAGGGAAAACAACCTGGCCTTAAGTTCAAGCCCCAGTGTTGGCACCAAAAAATAGAAAATAAAAAAGGGCAAGTGATCCACAAATGGAAAAGACCCCATTTACTCTCTTTATGTAAGCAAATACAAAAGCAAACATAAATTTATATTCGGTTATTTTACATCTCAAAGTCAGTCTCTCCTTTCTCACCTAGAAAAAATGTACAGCATGATCTAGGAAGGCATTGGCTAAGGAGTAGAAGAAATAAGAGCCGGGAAGGACTCCTTCCCTCTCAGTGTCTGGCTAGTTACACACTATGGCTGTGCAAATCCACTCCTAGGTATTTCCCATGAGAAATACATGCCCGTGCATAAGAAGAGTGAATTCCCTCTCCATCCTGAACACTGGCAGTGTAACCACAACATCCTTCTTTTCAGAGTTACCCTGAGAAGCACAGACCCTCATATAGATAACTTGCTCACAAGATGGACAGGCTAAGACCCAATTTCTCCCAGGGAGTAAGGGTTAGACTTGAAAAGTTCAGATTCTCCAGTGTGACCAAAGAGGATCAGAGGCTGCTTATGAAATGAATGGACCCCAGTGAATAGTTCACACCCTCTAAGCAGTAGGCAAGGGTTTAGGTTCCATTCGAAGTGAATAAGGATGGCTGGAGTACTGTTCCTCTCCTGCCAATGTATCTTGAGAAAAAGAGAGAGATTTTTAGGTGGATCCCAAGTCATGTCCATGAACTGGACTCAATGCCCAATAATTAACGCTATAAAGATTTAATTGTTCAATTCACTTGTCATCAACACTATCTGTCCACAGGAGATACCCAATGAGTTGCACTCATACTGACTGATGCTCTGGGTCCAGAGGACGATCCATCCAGCCTAACACTCAGCATCTGCTTCTTTTTTATTTTAAGACTCGAACTCAGTTTACCTGTTGCTTTCGCCCATTGGCTGGCACTCTACCAACTGAGCCACGCCTCCAAGCCCAGTATCTGCTTCTTAAAGGAAGAGGTAACAAAATATCCTCCCACAGTTCCAAATTTTGAAGTACTCACAGTCCAGTGAAAGAGCAACAGAAATATTTTAATGTTGGGAAGTAAAAAGGTCATGTTTTTAAAAAGAGGTGATGCCAGCCCATCGTTATATCACAAGAAAATGGTTCAATCAATTCCAGTGACTATGGAATATATATTTTAGACAATATAGGATATATGGCTTCCTAGACACGGATAGACTAAATTCTGCAATCTCCCTATATTGGGCCACCACGAAATAGAGAAATAAATTTCTAAAACATCTACACTACTGCATATACTGGGAGCTATTACTACAGTACTTTGCCCACACACAATTTAGTTTAAAATGCAGGCTCTAAATTAACAATTGAAAGGTAAACACTCTGATTTTTGAAAGGGAAAAAGACTTATTAGCAGATACTACAAAGGAACAGCATCTACAGCATCTATAAGCATGTCAAGAGATGCTCATTATCTTTCATCCCCAATATAATGCAAGTTACATCTCTGGGGAAAGATGACTTCCTAATCACCTGGCTGAGGAAAATAAAATCTAACACACATCTAGAAGTTTCCTACTGCTGGTATGAGTATGAAAAGATACAACCACATTGGAAAAGAGGCGAGCAGTTTCTCCTAAAACAGTCACTTGCCCCATACCAAATAAATCCACTCCTAAGGAATTTTCTGTTTATTTCAGTTTTTGTTTTGGATTTTGAGACAGGATCCTCCAATGTAGCAGCTGGCTTAAACTTGTGATCTCCCTGCCTCTATCCCTAGAGCTGGGATCACATCCATGTGCCATCAGCCAGACATTTCGTTAGAAGAATAAAAGCATAAGTAGATAAAATGACTGATGTAAGCATTTCCATATGAACTCCACTTAGAATGGCCAAAAGCTGAAAATAGCTCAGGTGTTCAGCAACAGGACAAATATATATAAGGAAACACACACACACACACACACACACATATGCTAAACTTATATACAATCAACATACATATGATCAACTCATATAAGGAAATACTACTCAGCACAAAAAGGACAGCTTGTGATATATATCACAACATGAATGGGCCTTCCAACATTTTTGCTGTCTGAAAGAAGCCTTATTATACAAAATAGTACATAAATCAGTGGTTTCCTAGGGCAACTGTGTGTGAGGGTCAGGGGAATAACCAGGAAAGAGCATGAAGAAACTGTAACAGTTAGGGCTATGACTATCTTTGGTGTATTCATAAGGGCTTAAGACTCACTGGTATATATGGTTATTGAACTCTGTGGAATAATACACCTGACATTTGTTTATTTCATTCTGTAAATAGCATCTTACAAGCTAAATTGCATTTTGGATTCTTAATTGTATGCTCAGGGTTTAGAGGTAAAGTACACTGATGTCTTCAACTTACTCAGATACATTAAAAAATTAATAACTACTGGATTATTAGAACATATATAGAACAACCTGTTATAAAAAGATAAATAGCAGCAAGGTGCTGTTGGCTCACATCTGTAATCCTAACTATTCAAGAGACTGAGATCTGGGGATCATGGTTCAAATACAGCCAGGGCAGGAAAGTTCTTGAAACTATTATCTCTAATTGACTAGTAAAAAAAAAAAAAAATGGGAAGTGGTGTTGTGGCTCAAGGAATAGAGAGCTAGCCTTGAGAAAAAAGCTCAGAGACAGTGCTAAGGCTCTGAGTTGAAGCCCAAGGACTAGCACGCATGCACACATGCACATGCATGCACACACACACACACACACACACACACACACACAAGATTTGTACTAAAATGACACCAGGAACCACTGGCTCACACATGCAATCCTAGCTGAGATCCAGAGGATAGTAATTCAAGACTAGACAGGAAAGAAAAGTCCTCTAGACTTCATCTCTTAAATAACCAACCAAAAGCCAAGCTGCAGGCATGGCTGAAGTGGTAAAGCACCAGCCAAGTAAGTAAAGCAAGCATGAAGCCCTGAGTTCAAAACCCAGTACCACAAAAAGATATATAGGAAAATATATGGGTAAACTCTGAAGTTCTTTCCATTTTCTGAATTAAAATTTTTCAGAATAAAGTGTTTGAAGCTATATGGCAAAAGTAGAATTCCTTTTGGAGGTAGAGGTCACTCCTAAGTAAACAATTTAAAGGAACACAAATTGAGGACCAAGACAGCAGTGTATCTGTCAATCAGGGTAATAAACAGGGCAGTGGGAAACCATGAGCAAAGACAAAAATTATATATGTACTTTGTGAGCCAGCTGTTTCCTACACAGACAAACTGTGTCAGCAAAATCAGTAAGGATTTCATAATTCAACAACAGTTAATCATTCTCCCAAACAAGAATGAGGCAAGTCAGTTTTAGAACAAAAGAGAGTGGTTTTAAATTAATATGTTCGGTTTTATAAAAAAAAAAAAATCTCACTGCCTGGCCCCATAATCTGTTTAGTTCACTAAGTATTCAATAAAACTTCAGTGTGAACCAGGATTTAGCAACCCTTGAGTACACCGCCAGTCCTGGCCCCCAGTTCAGTTCTAATCTTAACCCTGTCGCTAGCCAGCTGCATGTGCTAGTTACAGACTTCTAAGTTTGTCTGGTTCACTTTAAGAAATCATGCCAAACTGGACTGATATAACAAAAGACAAAGGAGCGCTAGAAGAATGGCAGCTTCTCACAAACAGCACCATGAATGCCACCCATGAGCATGAGGCATCAAGCCCCCAGTCCATGAACATTAACCTGGTTTTGAGAAAGTGTTGTGTGCACTGAGGGAAAAGCCCAGCTCTAGTCCTTTCTGCCAGATTAACCAGCAGCACAATACCGGTCCAAAATCTAATCCAGCCTCTTCAACGTGCCCTTTTGAGACTCCGCACCCCAGGGCACAGAACAGGATTGCCTGCTTCATCTGCATTGGGCTAAAATCCTCTGTTCTTTAAACATAAGCAGGTGTCACCTGCTTTGTGAAAGCTTGCAGCCACGGTCAGCCTACCGTCTACACCGTCTGTACTGGGGCTGGATGGCGAGATGTTTCTGAGTCTACTCTCCCAGTCTCCACACTGAACTCCTCAAGGGTGTGGTTCTAGACTCAAGGGGATTTGAATACTTTGGCCCCAACAAGGATCAGCACTCAGCAGGCACTCAGTACTACAAAGCAGCACCTATCAGTGGGGCTCGGTCTGAAGTGCCCCGTCGGGTGTTTTTACCTGGAATAACGGAAGGGGGAATTCTTTTATTTGGTGGTTTCACACGGGGCACACTTGGATTACAAAAACGGTCCCTAAGGGCTCCCACCCGCGTGGACGTCTGCAGCTGTAATTTCAGGAGCCTGCTCTGCTTCCTGCAGCTCCCGCCAGGGCTGTGACCTCTGTCCCAGCTGGCCCAAATGCAAACTCCAGAGTCCCGTGCCCGGTCGCCACCCACAAACCCTGCAGGCCCAGGCCCTGCGCCCCAGAACCCAGCCCCCTCGCACAGCTAGATGTAGTCAGTAGTCTTTCTGCACACCACCCCCATGCCCGGAATGGGGGGGGAGGGGAGGGGGCTCCCCGCCCAGTGCCACCCCGGAAAAGCAGAGGCGCCCAGGCCCCGTTACTCGTGGGCGCCCCTGCTTCCTGCACCGGTCCGCAAGACGCCCCGAGAGCACGTGGTCTACCTGCGCGCCCCGCTGCTCCTTCCACTGCTTCATCTGGTCGCTGGCTGGGTCCCGGCTGTCCGCCATGGCTTCCAACTCTCCAGGCAGAGCTCAGCCTGCAGTGTCGGGAGATCTCCACCCAAGGCTGAGGACAGATCTGCCGCCCCAGCGCCCGAAGTAGATGACTTCAGCCTCCGCCAATCAGCACCGCCCCCGCCCGCCCTCCCGGAGGGCCCCTTCTGATTGGTCACTGGAGGGATAAGTGGGATGGGATTGGAAGTCCAGTGCTCCCTGTGGGAGGCGGGTGTAGAGGAACGGGGGGGGGGGGGGAGGGGGGGGGGAGGGGGAGGAGGGCGGGGGGGGGGGGGGGACTGGGTGTGATAAGTGGAAAGTCAGAGTGACTTTACAAGTGGAGGACTTGGAACTGTGTTCTTCAGAGAGTCAGATGTCCAATGTGGATTTCCTCTGTCCAAAATGAAGTTGCTGCTGAAGGATGGGTTGGATGCTTTCTTCACTCTTTATTCATGAATTTTTATTTATTAGAAAACTATATTATTTCATAGAAAAGCACTCTGAAACTTTGTATCACCAATCTCTATTTAAAATAAACAATCTACGTTGGGAAGTAAATGCTTGGTAATATTTATAATATACAGTAAGTTACTGACAAGTTTGTCATCTTATTTATTTATTTATTTATTGGGGCTTGAACTCAAGACCTTACCTTTTTCACTCTAAAACTGGCATTCTATCAGTTGAATCATGGCTCTACTTCTGGTATTTTCTGGTTAGTTGGATATAAGAGTCTTACATATTTTCCTGCCCAGACTGGCTTTAAACATCAATCAGCCTTCTAAGTAGCTAGGATTACAGGCATGAGCCACTGGCACCCACTTTAACCAAGCAGATTGAATGTGTTCTCTCAGGTTCTGAGACGTACCTTGAAATGTCTTGAGATATAACTATACCACCAGCTTCAAATTAAGAGGGCTCAGCTTTTACCTTTGATTTTTTTCAACAGAACTACATGCATGAGTGGGTGTACAATCATGGAAATTTGATATTGTTCTTGATTTTAGAAAGACCTTTGTGATAAAAGTCTAATGTGATTTGCTTGATAGCTTTTACTGTCCACCATTCATATTGCCAAAGCCCATATGGGCAGTGACTGTCACAGCTGTAATTCATTGCGCATTACAGATAGGAACTTGTTCGATCACTTTTGGGGGAGAAGGGGAAGTTGTTTGTTTTTTGCGCCAGCACTGAGAGCTTGAACTCAGGGCATAGGCACTGCTCTTAGCTTTTGCACTCAAAAGCTAGTGCTCTACTACTTGAGTTACAGCTCCACTTTTGGCTTTTTGCTGGCTAACTGGAGGTAAGAGTCTCATGGACTTTCTGTCCTGGCTGGCTTTGAATGTTGATCCTCAGCTCTCAGCCTCCTGAATAGCTAGGATTACAGATATGAGGTAACAGTAGCTGGTTCTACAAGCTTTTTTGTGTCTATTTGCTTTGTTAACCCTCCCAACACTATGAGTTAGAAACTAATATTCATCATTTTACAGATTAAGAGAGTGAGGACTAGAGATTTTAAATAAGTATAAGCATAGTCACACAATTATTAAGCGATAGGATCAAGACCATAGCCATGTAAATTCATCTCCAGAATCTATGGCTTATTGAATAAGTGAATGTCAAAAGAATCAAGTAAGTCTTTTGCTTCCAGCTAGTATAAACACCAAAAAATAAACAGAAAGAGCTGAGTCCCGTTTTAACCTTTGTTCTTTATGACATTGTGGGGGTTTTCACCTCTGTTTCTGTTATGGTTGGTTTGGTTATTACCAAAGCATGATTTTCAGAGAAAGAGAAATGTAGAAATAAGGCTTGTTTCTGGTCTTGTCAAATTATATATTTTAAAGTAAAAATGTATGTGTTCCAGAAAATGGAAACAAGAAGTTTTTTCTTTGCTGGTGTTTTTCTTTTCTTTTTGTCTTGTTAGTTCATTTGTCAGCCTGTAGGAGGGTAAGGGGACACAGAAATTGAAGGACAAAGGGTGAACAAATGCAGCAAGGGTGCTCACTAGACACTATGTTGAAAATGAACTATATAATCTGTGGGTAGGAACAGGAGAGAAGAACTGGCGGAGAGTAAGGGAAGAGCTGACATTGTCCAGAAAGAAATGTACTCATTACCTGACTTATGTAACTGTAACCCCTTTGTATATCATCTTTATAGTAACAATAAAAATAAAAAATATATAAAATGAAGTCTGTGTTTCCAAGTAGTGACTGTGAATTTACATTTGGTACAAAGGTAAAATTTCTGTTCATTTGGCTTTGTAATTATAATTCAATTGTAGTTTAAGTGAAAATACCGCCAAAACTCAGCCCTCATTAAATAGTTTAAATCTTATCTGTTTGACTACAAAAGGTAATTCTAAGTCAGCAAGCAAATTGGGACTACGTTTTAATATTTTAGTCATACATATGCATGAGCATTTCTTTAGTAATTGTGTTTTGGATTCCCCTACTCTCTGAGAAACTAAGATTCTTTTATATATTTCATTGTAATGCTCTTCACTGTGGCTTTATGAGTTAGACAGAAAGAGAAGTAGAGGCAAGAGAAAACAAGAACACAGAAAAAGAGAGGGCACGCCCAGGGTCGCAGTATCAGCTCCCGAGCCTGTGCTGTGGCCCTGGCCGGTCAGTGTAGGTACTTTCTCAATAAAGTTGCTTCTTTATTTTTTTTTATTGTTAAAATACTGTACAGAGGAGATACAATTACATGGGCAAGATAGTGAGTACATTTCTCATCAACATTGTAGCCTCCTCCTTTGTTTACCCTTCCCATCCCTTCCCAGCCTCCCCCTACCCCCCACCCAATCCTCCCCACCCCCCCACCAAAGTTGTAAAGTTCATTTTCAACATGACAACTTGTACTTCTCATTGTTGCAAGGGGGGGGGGGGAAGAAAAAGAAAAAGAGAGGGCACTGGTGACTCAACCTGCAATCCTAGCTACTAAAGAAGCTGAGATGTCATACACTTCATTTATGCTTATATCACATTCACTTGGCCAGAATTACATGGCCATGCCTAGCTACACAGAACATTGGGAAATGTTGTCTCTGGCTTGGCAGCCATGTGCTTGACAAAACTCAGGTATTCTATTAGAAAAGAAAAGAAGAATAAGTATTGGTGGTCAGCTAGCAGCATCTGGCACATGGTCTTCTGGACTGCTGAGATGATTAAGGGAGATGATATACACAGTTAGCTATTAGTATTACCTAGTTATCAGAATTGCCATTTGCTCAAGAGCCTATGTGACTCTTTTATGGAATACTTCAACTTATTATGCCCAGAAAAGGATCCCCAAAGACCACCAAGAAGCAGATTGCGATGTAAGCACACGGAGAGTCGTTTATTACAAACTGGAGCCTGGACTCACAACCATCACCTACACAGTGGGTCAGAGTTGAGAGCCATGACCCTTCCTTCAGCAGGGTTTTTATAGGGCATACAGCATAGCATCACTTAACAAATCATATCACACCACGGGTAATTCATAAAACAATTCTAAAAGATGATTAGTTTAACCAGTGGCGGGAACCGACCAGGGACTGGGGGTTGGCTGGTTCATGGGGCTGATGCTCTTCGAAATGACTGGCTAAAGCAGATGATCTGAGCTGTGACCAAGTGGTCTTTATCTTGCGAGAACATTTGGAACTTAGCTGTAGTTAGTGGAATTTACCGTAAAGGGAGTTGTTCCTGGAATTTGGGTTCAAGGGGAGTTGCTGATACAGTTTCTGAAGTTTCAGTTATGGTGCCTTAGCAGGATGGAGTCTAAACCTAAAATGTCTATATTATATTTTGTTCAGGCTTCACAGGACAAACTTTGTATTGGGTTTTTGTAGTGATACCAATTTTTCTGTTGTTCCAATCACAGCTAACAGAGCCCATTTGTGCAACAGCTTTTTTATCTCCACAGCAGACACAGCTCACAGCTAGCCATCACAGATTCCATCTTTGCTTCTGCTATCTCCAAGAATGAAATCCAACAACAACAAAAGGTGACATGAAAATATTGAATTTATTTAAGCTAAAAGAAAAGAAACAGAGCTTTCTCCAGGTGAGAGGGGTCCTGACTGAGTTGGCAGGGAAATGGCTGAAACTAAATGGGAGGAGGGGGGGCTGGATTCTGATTGGTTCCAATCCCATGCAAATGAGGCACAAGACAACCAACCAGAGACAATCTATGCCATCAATGTGGCCATGAAACTTAGTCTTTAATCAGTTGAGTCTTGCAAGTCTCCACCCTAACTAAGCTGAGAACGTAAAACGAGATAGGAGGCAAGATATCTGTTCTCTGTGTTCCCTGTAGATGGGATTTTTTTTAAAGAAACTTGCAGTTTCCACAGTCTGGTCTCCCTTTGTTAGGTCAGTGCATTACCATTGCAAGGTATATTCCTAGAGGCCCTGGACCTTTGACTAATCTACCTAACCATTTAACTAATTTCACCTGTTCAATATTACACATATTTCTATAGGATGTGCTGTAGTTAAGAGGCTGCCTATGGCTACTACAAGTATGGCTCTGAATTCACATATGATGAACAACCCATATCATACACCAAACCTTCCCATCCCACCCAAGCATATTTTCAAAACATATTTCAAGAAAAACTTACACTCTCCCTACACTGTCCAGTCTCTACATTAAGAGATTTTCCAACATTAACCCATCTGATCCGTGTAACAACCTTGTTAAGATATGAAGCCAACATTGCTCTACCTGTGAGGACATTGAGGTAGCAGAAAGACAAAGAACCTCCCAATGTTACATCATTGGTTAATGATGAGGTCAGAACTCAAGTCAGGCAGTGACTCTGGAAGTCACATCTCAACTTGTACATCACTCTGCCTGCCGCAAAGTGGACAGGGAAACCAAGGTGAGTGTTATACTTTCTTTGGAGTTTATCTAAATTAAGGCAACATTTCCTGTCCACCTAGGACTAGCTTAATGGGAAGCACAATGATGTAAACCAACTGTAGAATCCATATTTGCCTTTCCATAATTGAGAAAGATCAAGCTTGGCATTGGTGGCTCATGCCTGTAATCCTAGCTACTCAGGAGGCTGAGATCTGAGGCTCATGGTTCAAAGCCAGCCCAG